GGTAGCCCTTCACCCAAGTATGATCCTGGCTAAATATCTCCCTGTGCCTTTTGGTTATCTAGTGGCATGACCTTCACTGATGCAGTACTTGCATGTAGAACTAATAGTTACCCAAATATGTACTTATCTATTGTTAATGTGACCGAATATCAAGTCATAGATGTGCAACATCAAATTCAGCTGGTAATCCAACATGCATTCAGAAAAGCAGTACTAACTGCATTGTGGATTATTATCCATGAAACCCTTCTAAAAGTTACCATAACATGGCCCGATTGTGTTATCTTAATGTGAACAGGACAATACTCATGGAGCTTAATTCTATATCCCCTACTAACTTTACTGAACAGGGAATGCAAATGAACAAAGGAATAAAACTCGATAATAGTAGGGGCTTGAGACAGATTTCAGTATGCAACACTTTGTTAACCCAAATATCAGCATACAAAATTACCATATATGAGATATACCCTGACAAAGTGACATTCTGAAAAAAGGGCTATTACTCTCTAAGTATAGGGGCAAAAGACCAGATTCCAGGATAAGCTATTCTGCCATACTTCCCTTACATTTCCCTTACAAAGCCTTTAGTAACCAGTGAGCAATTCACAATGATTCCAGTGTTGTTAATCCCTATCACAATAATAGGCAATTTACAAAGTAGTATGGCAATCAAATCCAAAGAATCATTCATCAGTTTTACAAATTAAGCAGTTGAAAACTCTTTTCAAAGGAAATACATGTCACAGTAATTATTGAAAGGTAGCATACACCCTTAAGTGATTCATTTAACAACTGCCAAACACTGATCTTGATGTTAACAAATGTTTAATCAACAAAGTAGAACTAAAGGTAGTCATTTGTACTAAACAATTACAGGAATTGAGCAATCACACAAGCTTATATTCTACTTCCTCATATTATCTTTTATCATAGATATAGATATATATTCAACATCAACAAAAAGCTGCACCTGTTGTCTCTTCAACATTTCAGACAACCACAGAAAGTTATCCTGCATCAATAACACACTCACAGTTGAACACATTTTACAAGGCACTAGTTTGCGGTCAAAATGTAAACTAGCGACTATTACCATGATTACATGTAGTACTATATTATCTACTGCAGCAACAATGAAATCTCAATTAATCACAAGCAAATTGTTTCCTCAATATACACATGATGGAATATAGGTCCAGCCAAATTGTATCGACTATAAAGGATTAAAATACCTCATTTCAATCTTTAACTGTTCAAAACTACTTCAAATAAGGAATAGTCATTCGTTCCTAGCCCCTGAATCACAAAACGTCTGATCATGTACTTCGAAGAATTTTTGTAATTCTCTTCATATTAAGGGTTATATTTCGTCTGACATTATAAGAAATAGTAAAATATCAATAAATCTATATCAACCACCTCTTTACTTCAAATGGTGGATGAATGGCAAAATCAGGAAGGATTAATATCATAAGAACGGTCACTGGAAACATTTTGACTATACAAGTCTTATTTGCAGTTTATCAGTTCGGACTAACTAGCTTAATAATGATAATTACTATATTTATCTAACAATATGTACATGTATACTTTTAACCTTTCATCCTGAATGATCAAGTCTGCAAACTTATTCTGCTATCATTTCAACACTTAATTAGCACACCACATGCATAGCCAAACATTTGAAAAAAAATAGTATGTCACATTGTTGTCTTTTGATAAAATGTTAAAAATATTAAAACACATTTTCTTTAAAACATAGATCTTTCTCTGAACAATACAGGTATTTAGTAAGACACACTCACAGCATAGGGTTTATTCCAGGATTGACTCTTGGTTCAACATCCATTCCAACAAATATTAAAATAAGAAAATATAAAACTCAGATTCTTTCACATACTGCTTCCAATAAAAATCTAATTTGTGGAATGAACATACCAGAGTCAAGGTATTGATGAACTCAGTAACTACACAGACTGGGTTGAATATGGTAAATTTTCCATCATAACTTGAAGACGTTATTTGAAATGTATTAACAGATTAAAGAAAGTGTTGAATGTACACTGATTCCAATCTTTTTGTTTGACCTGATCATTAGTACTATTGAACTGTACCCAACTTTGGTGGAATGCATCAATTACATATTGGACAAGAGGCCCAGTTTCTTTTGTTACATGAAACTGACATATAGGTAACTTAAGACCAAATTTGGTAACTAGAACACAAGACATTTTAACATCTCTTAAACGGTTCTAATGATATTGTTGTTTGAAAATTTTAAAGCTTTTAACCCACATTGACTTTGACTCCTGAATCGCACTTAAAGTTGACCTTTGACCTAATTACTGTAATAAAGAAAACAATTCACACAGCTGGTCTACATAATATACCCAAGTATCATGACTCTAGTTCAAATAGTTCTTAGGATATTGTGTTGTTTGATTTTTTTTCACATATTTGACCCCAGTGACCTTGAAAGTAGGTCATGGTCATTTTAATGAGGAAACTTTATAGCACTTCATCCCAGGTACCTATTTGCCAAATATCATGACCCTGGGCCTTATGGAACTTGAGAAGAAGATTGTTAAAGCTTTTAACCAAAGTTGTCATTTGACCCCCGACTAGCATTTAAAGTCGACCTTTTTACCTCATTACTGTAATTGAGAAAAATATTTGCACTGCTGGTCTTCATAACATACCCAAGTATCATGACTCTAGTTCAATTGGTTCTTAGGAAATTGTTGTTTGAAATTTTTAACATATTTGACCTCTGTGACCTTGAAAGTAGGTCAAGGTCATTTTAATGAGGAAACTTTATAGCACTCGCTCCCAGGTATCGACTGGCCAAATATCATGACCCTAGGTCCTACAGTTCTTCAGAAGAAGTTGTTCAAAAGAAAAAGTTGACAGACGGACGCCGCTGCAGTACGGCATAAGCTCAAATGGCCCTTCGGGCCAGGTGAGCTAAAAACACTTAATACAAGCACATATCTGTATATACATGTATAAAACATTCTAAAAGAAGTCTTAAATACTGACATAATTGTGATTATAATGCCCTTAAACAGTGTTAATCAGCACCATCCATTTACATTCAAACAGTACAATCATAAATCAGATCCATAAAGTACATTCATAATTAAACAATGCATGCAACTGCAATGTTTATAACTTAATGTCAAAGCATATATACAGTGTATAGATATGTGATGCATCAGTGCTTTCTGTTACTTATTTGTGAATATTTTACAGCACCTAGAGTCATGTTAATTCTATTTATGATCAAAGTATTACAAAATGTATGTAAAATAATATATAAGCATACAAGATGAGAAAAACAAATTGTCAACTTTAAATCTTTTGTAATTTGCCATACATTTAAAAAGAAACTTATTTTCGAATTATCAGCATCAAGCTGTTGATTTCAAATTGGAGAGTAGAATGAACATTAACTTTTAATTGAATTCAAAATTTTGAAATGATGTATATTAAATATAAGCAAAATTTCAATTGTGAGCAAAATCAAACCTTATATAAATAATTCCAAGATCCAATACAATAAATAAAACTGCAATTAAGAAAATAACTAAAGTACCATCAACAAGAGGCCCAATGGGTCTGAATACTTTCATCCAATTTCAGGTCCTATTTTTTTCCAAACTTCCTAGCACTACACTTCAAGCTACTGGTGGCCTTCACTTCTTCAGAAGTTATTGGAGTGTTTTAATAAATCTGACAACCTTAAATATTGTCCAAGGTCAATATGACTCAATTCCTCAGAAAAGTTGTTGCGAGTGTTCTAACATTTGAAATGCGACATTGATCATGGAACAGCAAGCTACTTGTCAAATATCATGGCCTTTTCAGAAAATGTTTCAACATTCAAATATTGCACAATGCATGGCAAAGTGCCCCCTCATGGCCACATTTCATGATCAAGGTGCTGTATTGCATAATGGAACGAAAATCATCACATTGTTGGTTTTGGTCCTAAAATCCCCACCCCCCCTCTCCTTTTTTTTTTTTAACTTTCTTGACCCTAATGTTATAATCACATAAAGTCGATATGTTAGGGAATATAAAAGATACTTGATGTAATGAATGACACATAAACATTTAGAAATTAGCCAGCTGTTACATGTCCTTTAAGAAATTACATGAACATAAGTAATTCTGATAGAGAGCCATTGACGTTGTGTGCCTTATTGATATATGTATATAAGTTAGAGCGCCGATCTACATAATAACCCGACAGTGATTGTAAGATAATAATTATAATGACATGCTGTAATTTGACATTTGACCAATGTCACCTTGAAAGTGGGTCAATGTCATTCATTTGAACAAAATTGGTAGCCCTTCATCCCAGCATGCTACAGGCCCAATATCAGTACCCCTGGCCTTTTGGTTATTGAGAAGAAGTCATTTGATGATTTCACGACATTTAACCCCTGTGACCTTGAAAGTGGGTCAAGGTCATGGGCCTTTTGGTTATTGAGAAGTTGTTTGATGATTTAAAGACATTTGACCCCTGTGACTTTGAAAGTGGGTCAAAGTCATTAATTTGAACAAATTTGGTAGCCCTTCATCCCAGCATGCTACAGGCCCAATATCAGTACCCCTGGCCTTTTGGTTATTGAGACGTCATTTGAAGATTTCACGACATTTGACCTATGTCACCTTAAAAGTGGGTCAAGGTCATTAATTTGAACAGACTTGATAGCCCTTCATCCCAGTATGCCACAGGCCCAATTTCAGTACCCTGGGCCTTTTGGTTATTAAGAAGAAGTCGTTTGATGATTTCACAACATTTAACCCCTGTGACCTTGAAAGTGGGTCAAGGTCATGGGCCTTTTGGTTATTGAGAAGAAGTTGTTTGATGGTTTTAAGACATTTGACCCCTGTGACTTTGAAAGTGGGTCAAGGTCATTCATTTGAACAAATTTGGTAGCCCTTCATCCCAGCATGCTACTGGCCAAATATCATCAGCCTGGGCCATTTGGTTATTCAGAAGTTGTTGTTTAAAGTAAAAAGTTGACGCCGGACGGAAGCCAGACCATGCCATAAGCTCAACTGGCCCGAAGGCAAAATCATGATCCTGTCTCGAGCTCAGAAAACTATCTGTACAGCTCTTATTTTGCATGTAGTCAAATCTGTCTAATCCAACATCATGTAGGACACAATACCTTGGTCAGATTAGACAAGGTATCAGAATACACAGGTCTTGTTTGGTATTTTCATTAGAATTAGGAATTCAGCATTATGCTAAGGTTGAAAAAGATGTCATAACACTCAGTGGTAAGATGGAAAATTCAATATCTTTCTACAAATCATTTAGCATATTAGAAAGGCACAACTTCAGAAAGGCACATGACTTTGAGAGTGACAGCAGTCAAACAATTATTGCATATATTAATGTACTATGCATAACATCTGTGAATCAGTATCAGGTATACAGAACTAAAATTGAATAATAAACTTTTAACTATCAGTAGTCATTCCCATCATGCAGTATATAGATGCAAACACTTTCTACAATGTTCAGTGTCAAGAGAACAACTCTGGTAATTTCTCCCTTAGGGATTATATATGTCTTCTTTATAAGTCTTGTGCACACAAACTTTATGCTAGAATTTATGGTTTAGCATAAATTCAAAGTAAATCTCTTCCAATAGAAAGCAAAATATTGAACTGATCAATTTTGTTATAGTATTTGTACACACAAACACTTGGAAGGCTATATATAGCTAAGCATACGCGTAAAGATCACCTCTCCATTCAGAGAACATAATAACTGAACAACTCTATATTGTATTCGAGATGATGAGAACACAAGATAAACTCTCCTTTTGGGATTAACAACAATCCATGCACATCCGTCTATGCATAAACATGCACTATATATATATTGACACTCCGATGGTCCTCTTTTGGTTCAGCGCAATGGTGATGAGCATGATTCTGGATAATCACTTCCTTCAGAGTATTTTCGGTTCCTCCTACCCTGGTACTGACTTTTGTACACATTTCTATTTGTAGAAGACGGGGGGGTGCTCCTTCTCTCCAAATCCCTCCTTTTCAGATACCTGCAAGTACCAGGAGACATGGAATTCCTTTCCTTGTTCATCCTGTCATGCTCATCCCTTTCTTGGAAGCGGTTTCTGTTATGCTCACTATGTCTGTCTCTGCTGTATACCACTGTGTTTCTTTCATAAGACTGTGATAGGCACATATTTCGATGCGAGAAATTTACATTGTTGGTCCTTCTTATAGCAACTTCCTTTTCAGTCCATTCTTCATCTCTACTTCTGGAACTACTTCTTGACCGACTCAATGACCTTTCACTAGAGAATCTACTATATCTTCTTGAAGGAGAACTATGGAATCGATCAATCTCTTTTGTGCTACCATTTCCACTCTCAGAGTACCTACGCTGATGTATTGGTAACTTTCCAGATGAAAACTCCTTGGCAATATCCTTTGGAACAGAACAATGTCGAGAACTTTTCTCAGAACTCCTAGAAATTATAGTCTCCCTTCCACTGGTATCTTTATGATGTATTGGGCTATTGCTTTGTCGAGACTGAAGCCCATCTCTGCTCAATTTTGTCACCAGATTAGCCTCATTACATTCCTTGCTACCACCAGATTGTGCTTGTTCTGGTTCTAGAACACACTCCAGAGCTTTCCCATTGACATCATCACAGGCTGTATGCTGTTGTCCAACTCTGCATTCCTCATACTTGAGCACCAGTAGATCAACTATTGGATTATCATCCTTCTTCTTGGAAATGCTTGTTGCCCTTAATCGAGGGTCCCGGGAATTGACATCAACATAATGATCCTTCTTCAAAGAGGTTTTATCTGATACACTCACACCTTGTTCTTGTCTAACAGTGATACGTGGCAAGATATGCGATATCCCATCAGAATTTCTAGTCTCCAAAGTATCAGGACTACATTTTTCTTGTTTCGTTTCTGCAACTATGTTTTCCTTTTTTTCCTCCTGTTGTTTAATACCCAAGTTTGATTCAATATAGTCGTCAATTTTCCCAATGCCAGTTTTGACATCCGTTGTTTTGAACGCGGCTGTAGTAACACATTTATTGTGTACTTCGTTCATATTCTTCTTAGTATCTTGATGCAACGCTTGGTTTAGTTTCCCATCATCATTCTTCTTGCCAAATTTTTCAGTTGCAACAAATTCAATAAAGAATGGCGGCAAAGGCAGATCCTTCATCTTCCTGGCTGTCAATGGTTGTTTTTTACAAACTTTTACAGGTCTGGGATCCCTTGGTGGATCATCATCTTGTCTGTTGACCAAAGTTTTGGGTATATGACGTGGTTTCACTCCTCCTTTGAGAAGTGTTCTTCCTTCAAATCGAATGTTTCCATTCTGTTTAGATGCAGCATCTGGGCTTGAAGAAGTAGGACTGAACTTGGCATCATCCCCATTCATAGATGCATCAGAAAAGCTTTGTGTCTGTTCTGGCTTGTAATCAGTACTTGGGATCTTACTCCTAACAGATGATGCTTGAAAAGGTTGGTGTCCCATTTCCTGCTGGATGATGTTAAAGATTGTATGCAATGCTTGTCTGTCATCATCTTTTTGAGCCATGGCCTGGCATTGTGTTAGAAGAGTGGAAACAAGCTCAGTTTCTTCTTTCTCTTTGTGTATTGTTGCTGTCATTCCTGAACTTTCATTTGCTATTTCCTGGTAAAATCCAGTAGGTTTCACAATACCCCCTGAAGGTTGCACAATATCCCCAGTAGGTTTCACATCTCCAAAAGGTTTTACATTATCTTCAGCAGGTTTCAAAACAACCCCTGTAGATCTCCTTGTATCGTTCTGGTCTAGCATCTTGTTGAAAAGGTAATGCTTTGTTGATGACAAGCCATCAGTTTCATTTAAAGGGTGAACTTTGTTGTCAAGTGTTGCACGTGCATCAGCACTTTCAAAGTTTGATGTATTATGCTTGGTTGGTGCATTCCAAGTCTTCGGTGTAAAAGGGCCATGGAGTGCCAGTCCATAATTACCTGCAACTGGTGGATGAAACGGAGTATTTGGAACATGACCTGGGTAATATCCATATGGAAGACTCTGGTTTTCCACATAATTGTTATCAGAGCTAACTTTGCAGTGATTTCCTTGCCAAGGTGGATTGGATGATGGATGTCTGTTCTGAAATGATGGAATATCCTTGTTCAATGGATCAGTGGCCAGCATTCTTTTCTTTGCTGGTGACATATGCTTGTTGGAACCAACAGGAGATGCATGTCTTTTCCCAAAACCACCTGCAGTGAATAACTGTTCACTGGAAGTGTACTCTGGAGGTTGTACCACATTGTTTGCAGGTGCTTGAAGATTACATTGTCTTGCCTGGTTAACATGATATTGATGCAGAGGATTGGATGAAAATGAACGTTGCTGATTTTCCATATGTCCTCCGAAACCGGGCTTGTTGTTGTTGTTGTAAAAGTTTGCTCTTTGTTGTCTACCTTTTGGGAACCTTTTTTTTGAGTGATAGTTGTAAAACTGATCCTGAATGTCATAAATTGTGCAAGGGTCATCACTGGCAAAAGTATCTGCTACAAAGTGTTGCTGAACATTAGTCTGACTATCCGGTGTGTTTCTTGGTCCAGTTTTGATGTACCCGAATGACTTTGGGACATTGTTCTGTTTGAAGCCTGTGCTAGCCTGAAATCCTGGTCCCTTGTTGAAGTTTGGACTGGCTTGAAAGTCTTTCCCTTTGTTAAAGTCTGAACTAGTCTGAAATTTTTGTCCATTATTCTGGTTTGGACTAACTTCCGAACATTGTCTGTTGTTTGCACTGGTGTGAATGTCATTGATATGGTTCAAGTCTGGACTCTTACCGAAGTTTGGAGAGGTCTGAAAACCTGGTCTTTTGTTGAAACTTTGACTTGTTTGAATATTTTGTTTTTTGTTGAAGTCTAATTTTGTCTGAAAACCCTGTCCTTTGTTTAGGTTTGGACTTGTCTGAAAACCTGGTCCTTTGTTTAGGTTTGAACTTGTCTGAAAACCCTGTCCTTTGTTTAGGTTTGGACTTGTCTGAAAACCTGGTCCTTTGTTTAGGTTTGAACTTGTCTGAAAACCCTGTCCTTTGTTTAGGTTTGGACTTGTCTGAAAACCTGGTCCTTTGTTTAGGTTTGAACTTGTCTGAAAACCCTGTCCTTTGTTTAGGTTAGAATTTGCCTGAAAACCCTGTCCTTTGTTTAGGTTTGGACTTGTCTGAAAACCTGGTCCTTTATTGAGGTTTGGACTTGTCTGAAAACCTTGTCCTTTGTTTAAGTTTGGATTTGCCTGAAAAACCTGTCCTTTGTTTAGGTTTGGACTTGTCTGAAAACCTGGTCCTTTATTGAGGTTTGTACTTGTCTGAAAACCTTGTCCTTTGTTTAGGTTTGGACTTGTCTGAAAACCCTGTCCTTTGTTTAGGTTTGGACTTGTCTGAAAACCCTGTCCTTTGTTGAGGTTTGGACTTGTCTGAAAACCCTGTCCTTTGTTAAGGTTTGAACTTGTCTGAAAAACCTGTCCTTTGTTAAGGTTTGGACTTGCCTTACAACCTGGTCCTGTATTTAAGTTTGGACTTGCATTACAATGTTGTCCATTGTTGAAATTTGGGCTTGCCTTATAATTACAACCTTGTCCATAGTTCAAGTTTGGACTGGTCTGAAAGCCTGGTCCTTTGTTGAAGATTGGACTTGTCTTAGGTCCTTGTTTAGTGTTGAATTTAGGACTGGTCTTAAAATCTGGCTCATTGTTGCACTTTGGACTTCCCTTAGAACCTTTTCCCATTTTGAACTTTGGACCTTTTCCCTTGTTGAGATTTGGACTTGACTTAGAACTTTGTGTTCTGTTGAAGTTCTGACTAGTTTGAGCACCATTGTTGTCCCTGAAGTTTATAGTCGTCTGATCCCGATTTGTTTTCTTGAAATCGGCTTTCTGCTTCTTATTGTTCTGTCCTGAATAATTTTCTGCATTTTTGTTTTGTTTCCAAGACTGATAGGTCTTCTGGTTTCCTAGACTTTCGTTTTGGTACTTTTTTGGCTGTTCCTGAAATCTTGGCAGATTTTTTGCGGTGTTTAGAGGTGAATTATATTCAGCATTCTTTTTAAGCCACTTCTTGGTCGAGTTTCGTTCAACATCATAATGTTGATGTGTATTGAAAGAAGATGTATCCTGGTAAAATTTTGGTGAAGGCTGAATATTTAAATCTCTTTCATCATTTCTACACTTGCCCATTGATCCTTGCCCATTGTTCTTAAATTTTGGTTCCTCTGCTATGAAACCTGTTACAGGCACACTTGTCCCATTGTTCTTTGATCCATACTCTTTAATAGGGTTATTGTTCAATCCAGAATCATGACAGACTTCAATCCTATTCACATAGTCTTGACTCTTTTCATTATTATCTGTGTTGTTGGACCCTTCTATGTTCCCAGCATTATAATTGTGTACCTTTCTTTCAGTGTCCTCTTGATTCTCTGCTTGCTTGTTGCCCTTGTTCACTTTGAGCTCAATTTTAAACGGTGTGAACTTTTGACAAGCCACAGGAGCATCATCAGATCTTTGTTGGACATCAGAAATCTCTTCGCTTATCATCTTGGCTTGCGACTCCCTGACATTTCCATCAGTTCTCTTCCTCACTACTTCTGTAATCTGCATCTGAAGTTTGCTGACCATTTCTGAATTTTTACAAGCTTTGCTTTGATAGTCAACAGGTACAATTGTCCCGAACCTTTCCGACAAGGATAGCTTCTTCTTATTAAGATGTGCCATGATTTTCCAGCGATATGTAATTCTGAAAGCAGAAAACAAAATATAAGAATTATTCAGTGCTGTGTATTGATTGAACTGCATGTTATGAGAAGCTATCAAACAATTTTTTGATAACAAAAGCATTTTAAAATCAAAAGTATATATGGAGATATTTTCTAGACTGTAAATCTCATTTAAGCTTTAACAAAAGATCCCCATAGGGATCTTGGCACCAGCTATCTTAATATCTTAATTAGGTTTTTTTAAGTTGGACCTTTTCCCTTCATTTCCCTCTTTTCTAGAATGTTATATTCATAGTCTTGTCAACAGTAAATGTATCTTGTGGTAACTTTTGGTCAAAATTTCCATATCACTTGGTTTGAGATTGTCCTTTTAAAGTGAGGTTATTGTTCATTATTTACTTCTAGAGAAATATAAAAACAAAACTTGAACACTTCAAATCCAAGATGACTGTCTGGTGACCATCTTGGTTTTCTGATTAGTCCTAAAATGAAACATGTACAAGCAACAACTATGGACCAAAGGGAACCTTGAGAGAAAGATCAATCAAGTGCTTATTGAGAAATAGAAATAACAAACTTGAACTCTCAAAGTCCAAGATGGCTTACTGGTGACAATCTTGTTTTTGAAATCAGTCCAAAAATAAAATTGCACCATCATGGACCAAGTCAAACCTACTTGTAAACAAAGTCTGAGAGATATCTGTCAAGCATTTCTTGAGAAATAGCAATAACAATCTTGAACTCTCAAAATCCAAGATAGCTGTCTGGTGACCATCTTGTTTTTCCAATCATTTCCAAAATGAAACATCTGCATGCACAACTATGGACCAAGGAGAATGTTCATATAATATTTTATTAAGATCCTTCTACTGCTTTTTGAAAAATAGTGATAACAAGATTTGTTTAAGGATGGGCAACAGACCATTGATAAAGGGTGAACTGATCATTATGGGAGAGCGCCTAAGAAGTTGAAAGAACTTGTGCCCAACCCTTTGATGGTTTAATGTCAATTAAATATGTTTGAATGAGCCCACCATCCACCACCTGAAGATGGTGAGCTAAAAATGTTAAGGAGGCAGTCGAGTCGTAATGAATTTTAAGGCCCATAACTACTTAAAAGTAAAAAACAAATTGACATATTCATGAGCCACTAAAATTGATTTATGCTAAGAACCACCATTAAGCTGTCTCCCAAAAACTGTCCTACACCAAGACACCCCTTTGTAAACTGGAAGTTATCACTGCCATGTAAATTGGTTTACAAAACCTGTCAATCCTTTGTCAGTGAATTGAATATTACCTATACAAATATTGTTTAACTATTTGAAACTGTTATTAGAATTACTAGTCTCCATTGGTGGAGTCGTGTACACCTGCAAGGGTTTTAAAGATTTAAATGTACCTTTAAGTAAGTACTTCGATTTAAAGAACAGTCCCTGAAAATGGGGTTACAGCACACTTTTTGGGGGTTTTGAGGGAGGGACACCGAGATGTACCATTGTCATATTCTTTGAGTTATCATACCTCTTATATGTGTATGCTCATTTTTTATTTAATAATAATTTGAGGTTCTTATATACGGCTTTATCACAACCTAGGTTGTCAGTCTACAAAGAGGTTCCCAAATTATTATCCCTGGTTATTGGGCCTTTGCAACCAGCCAATATCTTTCTCAACTTTCTGGAAAGCATACAGCCAGTGCTAACATTTTGACACTGACAGCTAAAGCTAGCATTCAGCAATTCCACCACTGCCCAACAGTAACGTTTGACCCGGTATTGAAAGGTAATTTGACTTGTGACATGTATATATGTAATCAAGTCCAAATCCCTATAATCATAATTTGTGTCTGAATGTCTTTATTTTTTTCGCCTTTGATTTCCAGATTAGCCCTTATTCAAATGATGCATTACCGCAAAGATGTTAATTGTACCAATGATAATTTTAAAAATCTTAAGAAATAAATTATCATTGAAAAGTTATTTGCAACTCTCTTATTAAGAAAATGATACACATAAAATCATGCAGAACTTATGCCCCCGCTTCCATGTGAAATTCGTTTCAGTGTTTTATAAAAACACTTTGATCTTGATACCCTGAAACATGCACACAAAGTTTGACCAAAATCCCTGAAAGAATGAAGTTGCCAAGTGTTTAAATTGAATCAGTTGATGATTTTCTATATATAGCAAGTGTGACCTTGGATCCCTGAAACACAACGATGTCCGAAGTATACTCATACTTTACATTTGTATAAAATCTGACCAAAATCTGTCAAAGAATGAAGTTGCTAAGTGTTTACATTGAATCGGGACGGGACGGGCATGGGCAACACTATATGCCCTCCCCCCATTTTATGGAGGGTTGTACCTTTGTATAAAGTTTGACCAAAATCTGTCAAAGAATGAAGTTGCCAAGTGTTTACATTGAATCGGGACAGGACAGACATGGGCAACACTATATCCCCCCCATTTTATGGCGGGGGGCAATAATAACCTGTATTTGATACAATTCATGGTATACTTCTGATGCAAGTTAAGAAAATCTTACCAATTTTTTCTACTTTCCATCTACCGGTGTTATTACTTGCTACCAATAGACCTCTACTTTAGTGGGTCAAGGTCCTTCATTTGAATGAAATTTCAGCCTTCCACTGTATCAACTATAACAATGTACCATAACTAGGTCACATGAAACTTGACTAGTACCACACTACTGGGTACGTAGGTTATGGTATTTTAGCATATTTGACTTTGAGCTTTGACATCGAAAGTGGAAAAAAGATATTTATTTGAGCAAAGGACTGTATGCTTTGGGCCTTTTTTGGCCCCCAAATCCATCAAAATTAAAAATCTGCAATAGAACTTTCAAACAAATTTTTCTTTAATTTTAAATACTTCCCCAGTACTATTATGTTAATATTTTTTTGTGTTTTCAATTTTGGCTGCCATTGGTAACCAAGTCATTTTTGCATAAATTATTGAAATTTGATTATTCAGTCAATTTTGACAGGTTTTCACCTAGTTTTTCTCTTAGCTACCATAGAGCACACTCTTGAACAATTTTTATATTTCTCCTAAAGATGTATAACAGGTGCCTACACATTATCCTTTGATATTAAGTTTGTTTAAGCATGCGCTCTATAGTTTCTAGGAGAAAAACTTTGCAAAATATCCCAATATTCACTGAATATTCAAATTTTTCTAATTTATACAAATTTGAACTTGTTACCATGGCTACAATAATTAGAAATATAAAAAAATATTTTCATAATAGTATTTAGGAAGTATTCGAAATTAAAGAAACAGTCATTTCAAAGTTCATTTAAAGGTTTTGAATTTTGATGCATTTGGGGGCCAAAACAGGCCCAAACCATACATAGTCCTTTGCTTCTAATTCACCAAATCATGGAAACTTAGCTCTAGTCCATTTGGTTCAGTATTATGTGGTATGAAGTTTTAAACACCTTTGAGCAGTAAATCTAACAATGTCCAGTTTGTGATAATTTAATTGAACGACAGAATCTACCACAGCAAGCTACAGGCACAAATATTCTAATGCTTAGACCTTTCATAAGTAGAAAAATAATTCAACCCTATACATCTATACATGGTTAGTCTTGTATAATATTGATGAGGTTATATCAAAGTAGCATAATTGACACTATATGGGTAATATTGCTTTGATCACATTATAAGAATGGCTCAACCAATTCTGATAATTCATAAATAAGTTGGGTACATACATTTATCATTGTAAGTATTGGTTTCCTATACAATGAACTCAAAATAATCATTTGGTACATATTCCATTTTTTTTTTTAAGAATTCCACAGATTTGGTAAATTTTCTATTCTTCTAGATCATCATTATCACTATCGTTATTATCGGAACCTTTCTCATCACTTTGACACCAGTCAAATCCACATCAGATTCATTCAAAAGTCCGAAAGTATTGAAACTCTATGTTCATTTGATTTTCTCTTTCCTCCATTCATTGCAGGTTTCATGTAAATCTGTAGAAATCTGACTCCCTGTCAGTTGAAATTACCTGCCAATGTTTTTCATTCAAGCATTTGTCATGCAGCTGAACAGGAGTGAATATTAACCGAAAGCATTCCTAGAGTGAATTTGGTCTTTTATTGTCCGTCATGTTATTGCAGAAAATGCTGCCGCTTATGGCACTGCCACACTATAACGTATAACACCAGCGTATGCATAACATAGAAAATAGTTCAATAGGCTCGCACATGCTAGAAAAATCGACAGCCTGGTTGGATTTGGTGTTTGAGTACCGTATCATTAACTTATATGTAACTTATCAGAGCGTATCACAACATGTGACTAGCGCATTGAACTTGTACCCAGCATACCAGTAGTGTATGCGCAGCGTGCTTAGCGCATGCCACATCATGACATGACGTTTTCTATAAATATGGTGGTGATGTTTTACTGTTCATTTCGTCTGCTGGATAAACAAAATTATCAGTAGTGAAGCGGAGGTGAAACGGCTCAATCAATCAATCAATCGCTGCTCATCGTCCGGCAGTACATATACACACCGACCCATGAAGATGCCTCCCATAAAGAAGAACATGACGAGTGCGGCAAAGAGTTCAAAGAGCATTAAGTCTGGCCGATGCCATCAATCTCCCCCCCCCACCACCATCCCCCACTAGACCTTAAGCTGCTGATTCTCCAGCTGCCGTCTGCCGCTCTCAGTCTCCATCCCCTGGCCGCAGCACCCTTGGTGGATCAGTTGCTGGTTCTGTGGCCTCCAAAACAAGCAAGAAGAAGAAGGCCAAGAAGACTGCTCGTCTCCTGTCTATATATGATGAAGACATCGTGCTTGTCAAGTTAAGTTTCTGCATGACAAAGAAGTCCGGTGGAGCTTCAAGATGGGCTACTTCTGGGGGGACGAAGCAAGATCTGGATGGCCCAGGCCGTGCGCATGGGCAAGATCAGTGCTCTTTTCCAGGGCTGGTTTTAAGTCCTTGCAAGATACGTGCACTTGCATGGACAAGAAGAAGAGTGGGAATTGAGCTCCTCTTGAGATGACATAGAGAAAGACTTGGATTAGAGCCAAGTTCAGCTTCCTAAAGATAGTCTCCTCCTCCCATTGCTACAAGTATTTACTTTTTCTCAAACAACAAGTGAATGGGTGTTGTAAGGGACCCTCTAGCCGAGCTTCATCCAGGCATACTTGCTCCCAGAGGCAAGGTAAAGCAAAGCGAGAGCAAGCGTCAGGCCAGACTCGATTGGCTCACTCCCTGTTGAATGTACGTTGCTTAGTTATCCTATGACACACTCTGGCTAGCAACTTGTCAAACATCTCCACTTGACTCATGGTCTGGCCATCCGTTGACCTCTTCTCCTATTGGCATGGAACTGGTAAATTGCCAATTTGATGAGGTTCTGAACCGTTCTGTTGATGTTTGAGAACGACTAGTCACTATTTTTTTTATTCTTGTTGCAGTCTAACAGGATCCTCCATCTTCTCTGAGGGTAGTTGGAGCAGTGGCGTACTATGCATAACGTACTACGAGCTTATATATCAGCGTATGCCAGTGTGTTTGAAAAACTGTTATATGCTGGTGCTATACGTTATGATGCAACAGTGCCATAACAGGCCACAACAGGCTTACTTTAGTGGGTATGCTCAGCAACCTGCTTTACCTGGTGGCTCACAACCGTTACATGTAGAATCTTAGCATGTTTGGCATGAAAAGGTTAAATGATAATTTGATGCCAGAAAGAGGGATGATGCATGTTGTGTCATCAAGACTTTCTGCATAGAAACAATGTAATGGGAGCGGAGCTCACAAATGGAATCGCTCTTGAAAGCAATGTCTATCCAAAAACACTTTAGTTGAAAATGTAGGTCCCAGTGAGCCGCATCATATATATTTATGTAGTGCTTTTCATCCAAGACAATAACAAAATATTCAGGTGACATGCCTGAAAAAACAGAGTAGGTTGATAGGCAAATAATTTTCTTTTAATGTTAATTTTTTATTTCAAATTTTACAATGTATTTCCACCCATTACAATGACTATTAATTTGTCGAAAAGAAGCTCGGACACCCAGAACAGGAAGAAAATACATTTTCATGAGTGGCAGTGAACTTTGCCTGGCTAATAAATTAATCTTAGATACCAGTAGGTGATAAAATATCTAGTGTCAGCAGTAGAATCTAGGGTAGGTTGGGATACAACACAGCGAGAGAAAAATACCATGAGGGAGCAACACACGTACAGTTTATAAGGATGTGGTCAACACTTCAGAAAGATCAAGCACAAGGACAAACTCCATGAAAATACTCCTTAGATATGCAAGAACACCGCTATGTTAAAAATGCCTTCTCCATAAGAAGAACAGCAGTATGAAACAATTTTCCTGATCACACAGTAACCGCAAACACACTAAATAGCTTCAAAACCAGACTTGAGGATTACAGGAACCGACAGGAAGTACAAAAACTACAAAAAGACAATATGCGTAACAACCAGTAGTGAAATTAATAATGATAATAATAACACTTATGAGTCCAGCGAAGAGGGTCCTTAGAATGGAACCTGTGCTAGAAAAAATCATCAAGTATCATTAAAATACCGGAAACACACATTTTTTTTTGCCTAAATAATTGTTAAACTTCCATGTCTGTCATGCAGTTTTTTACCTTCCTTATGCCAAGTCAGTTGAAAAAAAATATTTTTGAAAGTTCCCCTTTCTTGATAGCAACATCCCTGATTCCCCATGTCTGGAGTGTTCACATGTCTCAGTTGATTCCGTACTCAAAGAGATTGCTTCAAATATCATGACTTCCATGATAGATGTCAACTGCTGACCAACAAAGTGACAGAGGGTTTCCAAACATGCAGGTTGATGAAGAATATCAACAAGCTTTATGGTAGCCATCAGGATCTCACAGGGCAATATGCTTAGTGTAAAATGAAAGTCAAGGTTTTTTGACTTTGCTTATTAGAATGCCTGATGGGTTTTTTGTCACTTCTCGAGTTCCCGATGAGAGGAAACGATATTACTTGGATTCGACTTAGATTTACATGGTGCTTACCCTTCCAGAACTCATGGTCTTATTCACCTTGTACTTTTGCAAGGGTCTCTATGTAATTTCATTTCTTTGTTCATTATTTGCCCTAGTTTTACCTATTTTGAGCTTGAATTGTGGTTTTGTTGACACTACATATTCTCGTGTTGTTTTTTTGGCCTTGAAGACAACAATAATTTCGTCAAAATCTATGAATGGAAATGGGAAAAGGGCATAACCCCTAACAAAATAATAAATATATTGCTGCACAAAAACTATCTAGAGTAATGATTAAGCATACAAAGTTTTATAAAAATCAGTCAAGAAGCAAAATAAGAGTACTTCAAACTATTATACAAGTAAATCAGAAGATGGACTTTACTCTGAAGAAAATAATCAAAATATTAACGAATAATACTGCAAGCACAAAACTACCTAGGGTTCTAATCAATGAATATCATGAACTATAACATATACATTGGTTTCAAATAATGGTAAGAAGAAACTGTTCTTCTTCCTTGACAATGCCTCACTTTTGGCCTTTAGTTAAGCGTCTGCCCCTGTGAGGAAGGCTTTGCATGGTTCTGTCCCCTGGCAGAGACATACCAGAGTCTGTAAAAATGGTAGTTTCTACTCCTGCTTAACGCTCAGCAATTTAGGAGGACGACGACTGGTTCGCCCATTGTCAGTATAATGTGACTGGGTGGGGTATCCTGCTGGGTGTCTTCGGCAGTATGTTTCAGTGAGGATGCATTATAAAGTCGGCATCAGTTTATCGCTACCACAAGGAGACAAACACGAATATATTGCAGCCACTCAAAATACAAACGCATACACTACACACAGGGGAGGCGTCAATGACCAAGGCTGTTAATAGGACGTTAAACAATACTAAACCAAACCAATCTTGCATAAACTTAATCTGAATGTTTTGTTATTACCTTCTGACAAAATTATTACTGGAGCAAAAGCTAACTAGTGTACTGTGTTTATGATAGTTGTACATGTCATTTGTGTCAACATAAACATCTTGTTTCAAATTAATTATAATCATCTCAATCTTACCCAAATTTACTATATTATAAACATTATCAACAATATATCTTCGAACACATTAAAGCACCAAATATGGTCAACACCTATGTCCTGTACTCCATACAAGACCTTTAAATTTAAAGCCACAGTCAGTGTCAATTACACTTATTCTCTTTCAAAGACAACATGTGTTCAGTAGCTGTTACACATTGGTAGACGAATTTGAATTTCTATTGTACAGTATCAATCTTAAAGACTTTTATGAGTGGGACCCCAATTCACATGGGGAAATGGCTTTACTGTATTATCTTGTAATACATAACGAACAATTTAGACTCTCGTGTTACCTTTTGACTGATTTTATCTCAGTTGCAGCATCTCGCACTGTTGCTATGGAGCTCTGCACCCAATGCCTGAAAAAAACCATAAGAACATTTGAAAAAAAACCCATTTCCATAAATTGTTACACATTCATCTATTGTGTGTGGTATAATTTTAAAAGTAATCATTGACACCTGAGCGAGCCTCCCTGAGCATCATTTCAATTCCATCCCCATATCAAAATGGTGTTATGAGTGTTGACAAAATATTTGCTGTCTTTTCCCTGAGGCTGATGCTCCGGGAGAAACCATTGGCGACATTCCCGTCCTGACAATGTCTATCGTGGTGCTATACAAACAACATTAGCATATCTAAGATGTTGTATGAAGTATTACCGTATAAAATCGTCTTTTCTTGGCCAGGCGTCCACTTTTCTCAGTTTCGATTTCGTTGCATGCAAACTCCTTCCTGTCACCTTACAGCTTGGGTTGGCTACTGAGTGCGGGAATACCGATGGACCAATCAAATAATTTGTCTCAAGAGTTCGGCAGATGGGGTGCACACCGTTGAGGGCTCATGATATCGCAAGTATTTGTGGTAAAGGTGTGAATTAAAAATAAAAATAAATCAACGAAGAATATCTAGCAGGTGAATTCATGGAGCCCTACTGCTATTATCATTTATAATCCAATAAAAGAAACACACGACCCACCCCAGTTCAAGCTGTCAAGAGCAATTATTTAAAAAAGAAGAAAAAATCATATGACATCTTTAATTACTTCTTATTCTTCTTTCCTGACAAAAATAGTAGAAGATTATGCTTTAGACCAATATAGACATTGATATTTATACATTAAAAATAGCTAAAAATGTGTTAAACTATCGCATATTTATTATTTATCCATGCCCCCCCCCCCCATAAATGACAGACAAAATGTTTTTTTTCAAGCCTTACTAAAAAAAACCCATGTAAAACCGGCCCTACGTTGTAATACTCCTGTCCGTCTCACATTTCAATATTTCCTTCGTTATCACGGCCAATGTATCAGCGACTCGGAAGGACCTTTATCTTCATTTGTTTTATTTAATTCCATGATGCACTATTTCAGGGGTTTTTGTACGGTTTACTTGTATAAGTGTCCCCCACCTCGCAAGATAAATTATTCAGCCTTAGCCGCAATAACGCTAATTCAAATTCAAATTCCATTATAAGTAAACTTTAAACAGTCACATATGATTATGATTATTTAAATTGATAAACTATTGATTTGAACTTGACTTAGAAGTTGGAGTTACCTGTTCGCGAGTTAATATTCAGATTAAAAGAATTTCTTTTCGTTATTGTCCTATCCACCCATAACTGCAATATATTAATGAAATTAAAATAATTGGATACCGGAATATATAGGAAAAGGCTTTCATGTTTAGACTATAGGCTAAGCCTGTTGTCTAGTCCCTTTGTTATTACATGTTTTTGGGCTACAAAGATGCCGGGGTGTAGGTATTGGTTATGCATACAAAAGTTATGGTAATTATTACTGAAATGAAAACATGTATTGTTATATTTCTTCTATAATAATTGTATTTATCTTTGTTTGTAGAATGAAATATTTTGAAATGAAATAGATTGAATCAAGGATTTCCAAATGAAATATTTTGAAATAAAATAGATTGAATCAAGGATTTCCAACTTGAAATAACGACGATCTTCCCAAAAAATACACGGGTCCGCACAACATCGTTACTTTTATTGGGTACATTAAACTTTATATTGGATAGTATTGAGTATAAATCGATATTTACTTAATTTTGTATTGGATTGTATTGGGTAGTATTGGGTTGTATTGAGTAAATCGACGCACCGGAAAAAAAGCTATGTGTACACAAACAAATCACGCTGCTGTGAAAAACTGTTTCTTGAAGAAATAAAATAGCAGTTGTCGACATTTTATCGGCGTAATGGTAGATATAAATAATGTTTAATTCTGTCTACGGAAAGTCTATAGACATGCTCCGGTATACAAGACTACATTATAATTGAAATGTGCACCAAACTCCATGCCATCAAAACTGTAGAGTTACCTCCCGTTTAACAATCGACAGAATTGCTATATGCGTGGGGATTATTTGTTTCGGTGCCCCATTCATTTGATCACATTTTAAGCTATGCCTTAGGTACACATGGATCTTTTTCAACTTATTTTATAATAGCGTAGACGAAGCTGTAAAAAATCGAGTAATCTGTCGGCGTATTCAGAATTCTTTTCTGTATAACAACCACAATATCTATAAGCCTTACTTATGGGAACCGTTTCTTTTAGGAATAACCAGGATTGTTTTGGGAATTATATGTTCAAATCCGAAAAAATGTATTACATTTGAAAGGGCACACAGTAAATTTCGGTAAAAACCGATATAACCCGACAAATAATCCTGGATATTCGTTGTTTTACTTTAAAATTGCAGCATTTTTAAGTCCACCATTGCGAATTTTTGTTAGAAAAAAAGTTAGAATAAGAAGCTACAAAATTATAAATAACGCACAAAACATTGCGGTATAGACGTTGTTGTCTATGTTAAGGTTATACTATTTAACATGAGAAAGTGTTTCATTTTTAGAATACAATGTTTCTTCAATCCTCTTCCTGCTTACCTAATAATACCATTTGGCTACTAAAAGAATGAGAGCTAATTTCTGAAGTTCTACATTTTAGACACTTTAAAAGCCTACAATACAACTGCCACACCAGCGAAAATAAAATCTGCACATCATACAAAAAGTAACACGCAGAATTTTGATACCGTACGCCTGTTGACTGGTCACGTGAAAAATAGTATTTGCTTCCCTTAGACTATTAACTGTTCACGTAATATACTAGGACTGTCTGGTCACGTGCGATGTACATCGAATGCACCTAATTTACAAACATCCTGATGGCGATGACGAAGGGTGCTCTCCTTAGTCGCTAGGCCTCACTGATTTCAAGAGTTATTGGTTTTCTCCTTCAGGGGCTGATGACTATATATGCCTACTGAAATGATTTCCGATTTTCTCTTGTACGTACACATTTTATAATGATTATATAATCTAGTTGCTATAGAACTGAATTATGTGATTATGAAAAGTTCTTTTTTTCACAACCAATACAATTTTCTATGTGACGTTTCGATGACTAGTACGATATGTACATACTAGTACACAATCCATGCTTAACAACCTGAAGAAAATGAATTATGTTTACTTGACATTATCCGAAAGTGACAAAAGTTCTCTTTCAAAAGATACCAAGAAGGACATGTACAGGTTTACCATTCAAATGATGGTAGATTCGGATGTTTTGTTCGTTGTTTGTAGTAAATACGTCGATTTGACGTGTCGAAACCTTTTTATTGAAGTGTTTAAGCATTGAATTACGGACCTAAACTTTTTTGAAAACTAACTAAACATCTCTTTCCTATCATATGCTTCATCTGCTGCTATTGTTTGTCCTTTGTTTATAGGAAAATGCGTTGTACAAAGCGTATAGCCACTGTACGTGTGTACTATTGCTCTGAAATATTGACATCGTTTAGCTTTGGTAGATTGGTTGTCGTTATAACAATCATTTTACCAAAAAATTGCTATGACCATGTTTCTAGTATTTACTGGTAGGATATTATTTAGATTGGTCAAAAGTGCTAGTGTGGCTTGCTATAACGGGGATGATATCAAACATGCTTGATAGTTTGTTGTAAATAAATACAGGATTTTGCCCCCTCTGTTAAAAATGAACTATTTGTGCTAGGTCAAGGCAACAACACAAGTCGACAAGCTGTTGGATGAATTTGTTATGATTAATCGTGGTCACTTGACTAATTCTTTAGTTCAAACACGAACCACAAGACCTATAAAAATCAGCAGCTACACATAATAAGTCTTGGGAGGCATTCAGTTTTAATGTAAAGCACTTCAAATTCTATTTAAACCGTTGTAATAGGCTTCATTTGTTAGAAATGTTATTTCTACGGCATGCGGTCCACTTCATTACCGCATATTTATCTTTCCTGTAGAACGTGTCGAGTTTTATTACCAGGAAAGATTGATGCTGACTGTAAATGTGGATTTGGTGGAGTTTCATTGCATACAGCAGTAACTGGATCACGTGTGTAGAAATGCGATGTCAGCTTTTTAACGTTGATAACAATAACTTGTATATTACGTGGGTGTAACTGTTTTTTCACTATGAGCTGGAGGTCGGGCCGAAGATAATATGGCTAGTGGGTTTAAGAGTTTTAGAATTTTAAGAGTTAATTACTGAATTAAATATTAGATAAGTAAAGTCAGATGATTAAGTGAATGCAGTGTTGTTTCAGACGAAAAGGATCGGAATCGTGGTGTCGTGAAACTGGTCGATACGATATGATACGGAGAAAAGCCGTTGCTGCAATAATCCTCATATTCAAACTCATATTGTTTATTTTGTTCGAAGTGTGGTAGTAATAATAAGTATGTAAGTAAAATGACAATTAACACGTGGGAAGACCCAGTAAAGGGGACTATCAATGACCTTATTTAGCGTTACATTGGTATTTAAAATTAATGACTTTAATCCCTGCTGTCTCTACTCCGGTTACTGTCTCTGTGGTGAGATTTCCTATCGGTGGAGTAAGTGTCAAATTTTCTTTCATAGGGTTTGTTGTGAAAATCTGAATTGTGGTAACATCTTCTAGAAGAAAATTCACTACCAGTCTTCAAACGTGATGTATTGAAATTGAATGATCTCGACTGGTATTTATCCGAATCTCTATGAAAAGGTCGCCTATCATTATTATTGTTGAAAGTGTTTCGGATGAATGGTTTTTTGAAACTGCCCCTTATCCAGTTACTATGAGCTGGAGGTCGGGCCGAAGATAATGTGGCTAGTGGGTTTAAGAGTTTTAGAATTTTAAGAGTTAATTACTGAATTAAATAATAGATAAGTGAAGTCAGATGATTAAGTGAATGCTGTGTTGTTTCAGACGAAAAGGATCGGAATCGTGATGTCGTGAAACTGGTCGCTACGATATGATGCGGAGAAAAGCCGTTGCTGCAATAATCCTCATATTCAAACTCATATTGTTTATTTTATTCGATGTGTGGTAATCAAGATTTGTTTACCACGGTAATTCATTTCACAATAATAGAAGGTTGGAACATGGAGAAAGGTATATTTGAGTGTGTTTTATACACGTTATTGTTAGTATATATTATTATCATATAATTGTTTTATTAAATAAATTATTACAAATATTATAAAACTTAACTGTTTCAACATACATATGAAGAATGTCTTCCCTAAAGGTATGGATTATGTGAGAGTCTGCCTATATTGTGAATTATGGTCTTTTAATTGTAGATTGAATCACAATATAGCTATTATCATGCTTGCTTTATTTGCCGATTTAATTGATAACTGAAATATTTACGTATCTATCTTGATGCAGATGGCGGATGTGTTTCTTGGGGAGATTTTTACTTTATTTTTTTTTAATGCAGATAATCTGCGAGAGCTCATAAACAAATTAATCAAAATGACATTAAGAATATTTGTTCATAATTTCGTATAGCATCCCTACTTTAAGCAAATCTACAAAATGCTATATGTAATCGCAAAAGATGACTGATTTTAATTGATATCTTAGATAACTCGGTCATCTGATGTAGCTTGACGTTTGCTATTCGTTATCTGGTGGTATTTGTCATCTGGCGGGGCTCGATTTTGACTACTGGTGATCAAGTGTATCTCTGTTAGGATTATAAGTTTACAGTACAATGTACATGACCTAATTTGGGCAAAGTCCAATTATCTCACCGACAAATATAACAGTCAGGGACAACATGAACGCGGATGCAGCGGAAACATAAATGTCTGTGATGGAGGTAACTTTAAGGACACGCATTGTATGGGTATTCATGTCGTTCACTGATGACAATAACAAGGAAACGTTTGTTGTCTTACTGTCGTGCTAACGTTATCTATGAGGAGACACATGTCAGACTATAATATATATAAGTCAAGTGGAGTGAGATACAGTTATTAAAACTTTAACAATGTAAAATAAATAAAGTTCTATGAAAATGTCTAGCGAAGCAATAGAGTAAATGGCCAGGTGGGAGGCTGTTCCTGTCGGAGATAGTCGTTGGTAAGACATATTTTTACAAAATGTGTTCTGTAAGACGCAATTCGGAACGAATTTTAATTTGCATATCATCACTGACAAGGGCATCCCTGCAATAATCTATGGCGGCTGAATTGGAACAATCGTGTTTTTCGCTTTATCCCCGCGACAAATATCCGTTTAAGGATATAAATCGGAGAGTTTGCATGGTAAAAAAAAAAGAGAAAAAGCGCCCTTTTATTATTTTATGAAAGACGTTCTATTTTTAAATGTATCGTGTCGTCGCAAAAACCCGTCGTTTCGAAGGCCAAGAGTGAAAATACGAAGAAGCTCAATTCTTTGTAGCTAATAAGCTTAAAAACAAAACTGACCATAACAAGCCACCATAAAAAAGCAGCAAGAATGGCACTTTGTCACTTTTTCGCCTTCAAAATGGCAAATTTACAAGACGGCATAGCGCAATATAAGAAAAGTAAAAGGACGAAAAAGCAAAATCGCTCTTGTCACCGTTACAATTTGATTAAGTTCAGTTACCATAAGATATGTCATGGGCTTTGTCACTGAAATAAAAACCATGCTTTTTCGCTTTTACGCTGAGAGGGACCCTTATGCTATCGTAATGATGATTCAATAAAGCCATCTGCTAAAAAGGTCATTCAGTTGAGGAGATATTCGAAAATCAGAGGTAATTTGCTTTTATAAAATGAGTAATACCCCCAGAAAATATATAACTCTTATATTTTCCGTTTGATCAACTTCACATAAATAAAATATGTGTAAAGAAGGCAGTCTTTTGGTTAACTATCATCTCATGCTTATAGAGGCAAATCTGTCTAATATGTAGATGAACAACTCACACGTTACTGTTCTATTTAGGTAATCAATTGGCCACTTCAGTCCATACTTCATTCTCGAATTTCCAGGGATTTCGCTCACTTATGTTCTTTTCACCCATGGGATATGTGCTGACAAAATCGAAGGCTCGGTATGCGCCACCTTGTGGAGGACACCAGTAGACTAGTCTGGTCCTTTGATGTACATCAAAAGTTTGATGGCTTTATAGTCAGGTGTCGCTCCACTGTAATTCACAAAATACATGTATCAGCCTAGATATTTTGTTATGCCTGATACTAACCAAATAGCTAAGTTCGTGCCTTGAATTTTGTCACATTGACATATTCAAGGTGTGCAGAGAACGTAAGCCCCTGGAAATGTGAGGATGTCCATACTTGCTGCCATGTTTCATCAGAGTGGATAATCCTTATTCGCCCTGTGCATTTGATGTTGTTTACAAATGGTCGCTGTAATAATAAATTTCCTCAAGAGGAAGATCAAAAAAGACTTAAGTTTAACTGTGGCGAAAATGGCATGGTATAAAGTAATAATAAGTTTGTAAGTAAAATGACAATTAACACGTGGGAAGACCCAGTAAAGGGGACTATCAATGACCTTATTTAGCGTTACATTGGTATTTAAAATTAATGACTTTAATCCCTGCTGTCTCTACTCCGGTTACTGTCTCTGTGGTGAGATTTCCTATCGGTGGAGTAAGTGTCAAATTTTCTTTCATAGGGTTTGTTGTGGAAATCTGAATTGTGGTAACATCTTCTAGAAGAAAATTCACTACCAGTCTTCAAACGTGATGTATTGAAACTGAATGATCTCGACTGATATTTATCCGAATCTCTATGAAAAGGTCGCCTATCATTATTATTGTTGAAAGTGTTTCGGATGAATGGTTTTTTGAAACTGCCCCTTATCCAGTTCCATCTTCCACGGCCCCTTCCCCGTCCTCTGCCGCGCGCGCCTCCAAAATGATGCGTGTTATCATTCCTGTCGTGCCTATCGAACCGGTGGTCGGTCCTGTTGTGATATCGGTCTCCATGGCTTTCCCTTGTATCGCTGCTTTGGCTAGATCCTCGCCTTTGTTCAACATATTTCCGGTCATCGCAAATGGCTGATGATTTTCTATCAATATATACCTCTCTACGTTCCCAGTTGTTTGAGCGTCTGTCCTGGCTCGTTGACCGGTCTCTCGAATGTTCAGATCGAACAGCCGTCAAGAGTTCTGGAGGAAGATCCACAGGCAGGTCATCAAAGCCTCGTGTTTCGTCGAGCTTTAGATTGGCATTGCCAAGTGTAGAGGATTGGTCATTGTCATTTGCTGTTACTTTTTTCTTTACCATTTCGAATATCATGTCAGCCATTTTCCCTTCAGTACTTCCGTCATTTCTTGGTCCATCAAACAAGACTCTCTTTAGAAGAGACGTCATGGCTTTTGATAACGTAGTTTCTGAGCTAGGAGGATCAGTGCGACTCGCACTCTCCCTCTGTTTTTGGAAACTCCTACTCGTATTTTGGTGTCTGCTAAAGACCGAGTCACCCCTCGTTCTTCTATCAGATACCGAATCGTTCCGAAATCGCGAGTGAGGCCGTCGATTGTTTGGCGGGTCTAGGGAAATGATCATACCATGCCTATCTATGATCAAATTGTTTGGATGTGATGTCCTGGTTTTATGCCAAGGTTTCCCCCCTTGTCTATCTTTCAAAGACGATATTCTATTTTCATGGAACCTGGATTCAGTAAACCTTCCTCTATGGTTCTTAAAATAAGGTTTATTGAAATATGTTGGTTTCCATAAGGGGCGATCTTCGTCATCAGAATCTTTCTTTTCGGTTTTTACAACCTTTTCCGTCTTAACAACCGGTGTTTTAGCACTCTGTTTTTTCACAGATGAGTCTTTTGAAGAAATGTTTTTAAATAATGTTAACTTAGCTTTCTGAATAGCACGAACTCTAAAGCCACTTGGTGATCGCCTTCTATCAACCCATTTCAGCCCAAGTCGCTTTTGTCTATCTTTAAAATATCTCGTCAGCAGTATGCCCCTTTCATGAAATGGGACAAACCCTGGATCTCGAATGGGTGATATATCTCGTGGACGCTGACTGGTCTTTCTATGAGAATCAGAGGTCACAGAACCAGAGACGCTTTTGCTCCGACTCCTATTCCTGTCACAACTTCGTCTTTGTTGAGAAGCTGATCTTTCAGATTCATGAGTACTATTTTCAGCTTCCTTTCCCCGACTGCTGTTATCTTTAACAAGTGAATGCGACGGATATAAGGTACATGATTCCTTCTTGATTTCAGTTAACGTTTTGTCGATTTCTTGACTCAAAATCCAATCTGTTGATGTGGTATTTGCAGTAATCTTAGTTTCCTGTTCGGTATTTGTGATATGTCCTTTCCGAACTGTGTTATCAACTGTATCATCTATTTGCGCTAATTTCTCGTCAAAAACAGTTTCGGTAGCTTTCTTTTTTATTGCAATCGGTTCAGATTGCGGTTCTGGTGTCAGTTGGCATTTTTTGATAGCAACAACATCATGGAAAAGGGTTTTTGAAATCGTCTGAAAGCCAGATTTGCGATCTAAGTCTGGCATAAAAGATGAAAAACCTTGGTTTCTAGGTTTGAAATCATCACGAAGCAAATTCTCGGACACATCCATATCGTTAGTTGATAACTCTATCGAACTATTTTCTTTTGGTTCCCCAGACTGTAGGTTTGTTTCGACCACTTTCTCGGGTGTCACCACTGTACCAGTGACGCCAATATTTGAATCACTTCCCTTTTCATTTTGCAAATTTGCAGCACACTGGTCTATTTCGTGAACTGCTCTGTTTTCCAAGACATCTTCTTGTATATTCACACAATTGACCTCTATCACTGTAGGTGCTTTAATGGCTGCAATATCATTCGTTTGACGAACTGCACGGTCGGTTACAATGGTAGATATTGCCTGTTGAATTTCATTGGTAATTGTGTCAACTTCCATTTCCTCCTCAGTCTGAGAATTCATGCCTGATGAACTCCTGTTGTCGTCAGATTCTACGACCTTTTTCTGTATCACCTTGATTGCATCACCGAGGTCCTGCAAAGTCTTTTCAACCTCAGACGATAAATGTGTTTCTGCAGCCTTTGAAACGTTGACAGAAAAGATGATATCATCTACCTGCTTGCTTGAAAGTGATTGACCACTTTTGCATATCGTGTCGTCGACTCGCATTTCATTCAATACTGGTTTAGATTCTTCGTCACTTGACGAAGAGCTACAATTATCACATGTTGAACACGCAAGAATGGAATGATCATCGTCACTGTCAGATTCGTGTTGTATTTTAGAGCAATTTACTCTGTCTGAATATCCCGAAACAGTCTTTGTCGGACTATTCTTATCGGATTTATCCACTTGATTTGCTTTGGCAATACAATCTTCATCTGCACGTTTTGTTTGTGTTTTGTCTTTTTCATTTGTTTGAGGATGTAGTACGCTGCCATTCGTAGATTCAGTATCCTGTGATGTTCGCTTTTGGATTCTGGGGTCTCGTGGATTAAGAACCCTGTCGTTGTTGTTGTGGTTACCTGGCAGCCCTGACTGCGAGGACTTGGCAGAGTCAGCATTGCTTGATTGCTTTCTGTTCGCAACAGTTTGTTGATCAATCATTTCGGACATACGGTGTTTTGCAACTGACATAGGTTTCCTGTCAGTGTCTTGATTGTCTGTAAGACGCGACAATGGCGCATCATTTAGGTATGTAGGATCATGGGAAGCATCCATTGATACGTCTGCTTTATCATCAAGTTTGAAATGGTCACCCATAGTTTCCTTCTTTTTCTTTATATAACTTTCATAAAAGCTTGAACATTTCTTTGATGAAGCCTTCATGCTGCCTTCTGTTTGAGACCTGCCGGTACTGTCATTAGTATTTGAACGAATTGCAGGCACTGGATTCTTATTCTTTGTGTACGCATTTACTTTAGTGTCATTGTCTTTCTCCTCCTTATATCTCTTAGTATTATCATTTCTTTTGTTATGACATTGATTCGGGGAACCTTTTGACACTACTGGGATTTTAGTAGTACCCATCCAATATATGTCTTGTGGTTCGTCCAGAGTTGGTGTAGGGGTGTCTCGATTGGGTTCAAAATTGCCATGATTTAAATCGACCTTAGTTTCCTGTTTTAATTTGTTGCAATCATCCCCAGCCGCGTCTGTTTCAATGCCACTTTTTGACGTTTGTAGCTGCGCTTTCGTCGTTTCTTTGTGTTCAGGATTTGCATCGACATCTCCACTTTGTTGACTGATATTCTCAGTAATCAAAACAGAGACATTGCAGTGTGATTGGTTTTTGACAGTGTATTCTGGCGTCGGCTTTTCTTCCTTAATTTTGATTTTATGTAACATTGTGCTTGTTCTACTCAGGTCTAGTGGTTGGTCACTGTCCTCGCCCAACTCCACCCTTTTTGGTGAAAAGATGATATCGTCGGTAACGATATCGTCTACTACTACGTCCTCCTCAGATGTTACTGATTCTCCTGATTTTCCAGAACTTCGACTTTGCCTCAGTTCCTTAAGTTTTCTTTGCTTCACCTGGATTTCTTGTTCTATTTCTTTTAATCGTTGAAGGATCAGAGATTTCTCTGATGCGGATTCTGTAGTTTGTAAAGTACAATTTCGGTTTTGGAGCGACTTTTCAGTTTCCATATACACATTTGTGTCATCCGTAGACCTTGGTTCAATAAGTGGATCCCACAAATATTCTGTGTATTGTAAGTCTGCCTCCTCCTCGTAGTCTTGTTGTGCAGTTTCTATGTCTATTAATGAATCATTTTTATTCACTTCATCCTGCCCTAAAGAGTTTGACCTTGTAATGCGTAGTGTCCTGGTTGATCGCCGGCCAGCACCGTATGCTGACTTCTGCCTTGGAGTTTGGTAAGATGAGATATGGGCGTCATCAAGAGAACTTGATCTCGTATCTTCTCTTTTGACACAAGTACCATTACTGTCAGTAGAAATCTCACCACTCTTTTCCCTAAGTGCAGCCGATGCCAAATCTGCTTTAGATGATATTTCTACATTAGAAACAGTTGGAGTATGTCCTTCCTCGCTTAATTGTTGTTTAAATGTAGCATTTATAGAAGCCTGTCTCTTTTTCCGTTGCTTTTGCCATGGCGTACGCAGAGGTCCAATAATTTTTTCTCCTGTTCGTTCAAGGCTTAGAACTGCAAAAGGTAGTATTTGCGATGGCGACATACTTGGAAGTGTAGTTTCCTCGTCATATTCATATAGGTATGCCTGGAAAAACATATAGAAAAATTTATCTAACAATATTTGAAATAATAACAATACATATAGGAAAACATTTTTTCTCTCCATTTTTCCATTGATTGCTTTTGAAATGCATAAGACCAGAGCGTATTTGATATTTTCTTCTGTTTGATTAGCTACACGAAGTAAACTTTTTCTTTGGACTTCTTTTTTCCTTTTCGTCAATGACAGTCTGTCGTTAATTATGCTAATCCTGAGTATCTTTTCAATCAGATAAGTTGAAACTGTTATATCAGCTACGTTGAATCGCATACTTGACTACCTACTCCTTCTTTCTAACCGTGACAATTTCTATCAGTAAACAATTGTAAGTATTACAATTCATGCAATTCATATGAGTATGCTTAATCTTTACGTTCGGTTGTCATATAACATTTCTGTAATAATACTTACTAAGTTATGATCTTGCGCATCACATATTCCCATTTCCGGATCCGGTTTAACCAAAGAGATATGTGTATCATAGTTTGGTGTTGGTTCCATGGTGCACTTGTCATTTGTCAGATTCGGTGTGACAGATTTCACTTTCCCGAACATCACCTTTATAAAAAATAAAAATGTTTGGTATTAGCTTAAGTTTGATTGATGGACAATGTATCTTACCTATCATTTATTATTTCAAAAAAGCACACACCTTTAATACCAACTGAACGGTACAATTGTATTACATTTATAGTAACCAAAGATATACGTCTTTGTTATTTACCTTAAAGACAAGTAGGAATTTGATTCCCTCTGCCTTTGTACATGCTGTGTATCTCAAAAGTAGGTCAAAGTTTCTGTTCAGGTGTAGACCGAACTGACTGTCACCAAGAACATTTCTTGTCTTTTCACAATGAGGTCCCGACTTGCAAACTTTCTGAATGCCCTGCCAAGATTCTTCAGCGAACAACAATCTATCTTCAAGTTCCTTTGGTTTCCTTCCCTGGAAAAAGATAACATATAATATATATATATCAGTAAATATCATGTGTAGCTCTTAGCTACCACAACAAAATTCCATTGGCATACATCCTGGAGACAACAATGACATAGAGAGATGAAGGCGTTTTAAGCCTACACAATTACATGCGTCTATCACAAAGTTTCTGCAGGGATTGTTAAAAATAAGACAAATTTCAAAAGTCACTCTTGCTCCAAGCTTTGGGGCTTAGCCATTGTCCTTTATTACGGATAAAAGGGACCTCACCATTATGTCACACCTGAAGTTCGCACGCCTTAATTCTAAAAGTGCCCATTACAATAATGAATTTGATTTCATCAAAACCATTTATAGAAAGTTTATACATTCTTCATTTTGGAAACATAACCATAATGCATTCTTTCTCATAATGACATAGTGCCCAACATCATTTTCTCAGATAAGGATTTGACATAAGGGTGTTGAACTTTCAACCCCTGACGAAGGCCCAAGCCCGATAATCTTGATAGTTGTCTTACACGATTCTCCTATGGGTTGTTTACCTGATCTCTTAGACTTTTCCTTCTTCTCTCATATCGTCTGGCGAGCTCACTGTTCCGGACAAGGCACATGGAAATAGTACGGAATATCCTCTCTGTGTCCTTTTCTATCAGGTTCGTTCGCTGAGCTTCTCGAAAAATCTCTTTGGCATCAGGAGAATCTAGTCGAATGAATTCCATAAGTTCTAAAAAAAAAAAAATGTGAAGTTTAGACACTGAAACATATCTATTACAGCTGTCATAGCGAGGTAGTAGTAAGCATCGGACAAAGTAGACGTCGACATAGAAATCAACACAATCATTCTATGAGCAGGACTTTTAAATTTTAAATGTCACTAGGTTAATACATTTTTCAACAGATCAATAGCGTAATGTTCTCAGCGTGAATCTGTGGCACTTTCTGGTGTGTATTTTTTACAGGTACTTTAATTATCAATGTTGAAATGTTTCCCCTATTCCGGCTTTAGCTGTACGAAATCGTTTTTTATTTAGTTGATCGAATCGGTCACAAACATATCGTGATGGGATGTTTCGAGTGAAACGTTTACATTGCGGTCCATACTAAGTAAAAGAACATAGATATACTAGATACACTAGATACAATTTTTCTACACGTAGTTAAGCCAAGTAATTTTGATTTTTTTCGTTATTAATCAGAATCTTTTAATAATTTAGTAAGACGTTTATCCGCAATAATACAATTTAACTTAAGTGGTCTATATAAAGACTCGTTACTCGTTAAACAGTCATACACACTACACAAGATACAGCAATCAGATGCTGGTGTAGCGCATTCACTGCATAGAACTCAGCTCAATTAATTACTTCATACAAATTATTCTTGTTGAACATTTTTACGGTACCAGCAATGCCAGTGTAACTACATTGATTATTTACGTATTACATTTACTGTGTTGTAGGTATTCGAACAATGTTGTCTTTTGAATCCGTGACAGATTTGAGACAATAGATTGATATTTAGGCAAACCAGACGCTCGTTATACGGGCCACCTATAGTCTCCGAAGTCCTTTAAATGTGCTACTAATCCTCATGTCCTCTATTGTATAATGGTATTGATATAGAGATTAGCCTTCACCGGGATATATAGAACTTTGATTAAACGCCGTGGGTCAATGCTATTTTGTTGAGCAGCTAATTGTAGTTGATTGCGCATACGATTCATTTTGCTATTACATATTTAAGTCTGTTATTACTGTTTTTAAGACATCACGTACTAGCATTAAGTATATTCATTGTTAGAGAACATTGAGCCACATTCTACAGGGTGATTATGTAACACTAACTTCTGTGTATAGCTACATAGACCATACCTAACTACACACTGAACAGAGTTCTGTGTACGAGGTGACTGCTGTGTGTCATTACTTCGTAAACGATAATTCCATGTATGATTACTGTATACAAAGTAACTTGTCTGTCAATGTGATTAAAGAAATAACTTTACAAGAAAGTTATAAATTTGAATATATATCAAACCTATATACAAGCTCGATATGATCTATGACATTGCGTTGTTATCGAAGTCCTTGTACGGTATACTGCCCTATCTAATCTATGTAACAGGTGATGTTTAGATAGCTGGAGATGATAGCACACACGCCTGTCCCTACACATCTTATCAGACAGTGTCAACCGTGACATGTACAGTAAGTTTCCCACCTGAACCTTTTCTCTAATATAGATGCTACTTTCTCGTGAGAAATAGACGATTATAATTTAATGTTGAAAACTTAAAGCTTAAACATGATAACTAAAACAACAAGGTCTAAAATGACCGCTCTCATTTAATACATAACAATAAAACATCTAACAACACCACCACACACATTTCCGTTTTATAATAAAGATACAATTGCAGATATTTCCAATACAACATATATATCTATACAACATAACGTCATTAGTAATATTATGTTCATTTAGTTGAATGTTGTATTTGTTAAATCAAAACTGAGCTACGTTTGAACTCTTCAATATAATCGGTTTCTTATTTCAGTTTTTCTATTGGAGTATTTCGGTGTTCGTTTGTTTGATAAAACCAAACTAATGTACTAGTGTACGTATAATGGCTAACTTGCCAAACTGAACACGTGACTAGCTAACTGCTTATAGAGACATATTCTAGTGTACGTCTGACGTCTCAGTTACCAAACTAAATACATGATAGACGTGTTTTAGTGTACGTATGGCGTCTAACTAACCACACTAACCACGTGACTAACTGCTTATAGAGACATATTCTAGTGTACGTCTGACGTCTCAGTTACCAAACTAAATACATGATAGACGTGTTTTAGTGTACGTATGGCGTCTAACTAACCACACTAAACACGTGACTAACTGCTCATAGAGACATATTAGTGTACGTCTGACGTCTCACTTACCGAACTAAATACATGATAGAGGTGTATTAGTGTACGTATGGTGTCTAACTAACCACACTAAACACGTGACTAACTGCTTATAGAGACACATTAGTGTACGTATGACGTCTAACTTACCAAACTAAATACATGATAGAGGTGTATTAGGGTACGTATGGCGTCTAACTAACCACACTAAACACGTGACTAACTGATTATAGAGAGATTCTGGCGTACGTATGACAGCCAACCTAACCAAACTAAACACGTGCCTAACTGCTTATAGAGGCACATTCTAGTGTACGTCTGACGTCTCACTTACCGAACTAAATACATGATAGAGGTGTATTAGTGTACGTATGGCGTCTAACTAACCACACTAACCACGTGACTAACTGCTTATAGAGACATATTCTAGTGTACGTCTGACGTCTCAGTTACCAAACTAAATACATGATAGACGTGTTTTAGTGTACGTATGGCGTCTAACTAACCACACTAACCACGTGACTAACTGCTTATAGAGACATATTCTAGTGTACGACTGTTTGACTCAACCACCCTAAACACGTGACTAACTGATTATAGAGACATTCTGGCGTACGTATGACAGCCACCCTAACCAAACTAAACACGTGCCTAACTGCTTATAGAGGCACATTCTAGTGTACGTCTGACGTCTCACTTACCGAACTAAATACATGATAGAGGTGTATTAGTGTACGTATGGCGTCTAACTAACCACACTAAACACGTGACTAACTGCTTATAGAGACATATTAGGGTACGTATGACGTCTCACTTACCAAACTAAATACATGATAGAGGTGTATAAGTGTACGTATGACGTCTAACTAACCACACTAAACACCCGACTAACTGCTTATAGAGACATTCTGGTGTACGACTGACGTCTCATTTACCAAACTAAATACATGATAGAGGTGTATTAGTGTAAGTATGACGTCTAACTTACCACACTAAACACGTGACTAACTGCTTATAGAGACATTCTGGTGTGCGACTGACGTCTCACTTACCAAACTAAATACATGATAGAGGTGTATTAGTGTACGTATGACGTCTAACTAACCACACTAAACACGTGACTAACTGCTTATAGTGACATTCTAGTGTACGTATGACGTCTAACTAACCAAACTGAACACGTGGCTAACTGCTTAAAGAGACATACTAGTGTACGTATGACGTCTAACTAACCACACTAAACACCCGACTAACTGCTTATAGAGACATACTAGTGTACGTATAACGGCTAACTTACCAAACTAAACACGTGACTAACTTCTTACAGAAACATTTTAGTGTACGACTGTTTGACTTTACCACACTAAACACGTGACTAACTGCTGATAGAGACATTCTGGTGTACGTATGACGTCTAACTAACCACACTAAACACGTGCCGAACTGCTTATAGAGACATTCTAGTGTACGTATGACGTGTAACTAACCAAACTAAACACGTGACTTGTTGCTTACAGAAACATTTTAGTGAACGACTGTTTGACTCAACCACACTAAACACCTGACTAACTGCTTACAGAGACGTATTAGTGTACGTATGACGCCTAACTAACCACACTAAACATGTGATTTGTTGCTTACATAAACATTTTAGTGTACGACTGTTTGACTCAACCACACTAAACACGTGACTAACTGCTTATAGAGACATATTCTTGTGTACGTCTGACGTCTCAGTTACCAAACTAAATACATGATAGAGGTGTATTAGCGTACGTATGGCGTCTAACTAACCACACTAAACATGTGACTAACTGCTGATAGAGACATTCTGGTGTACGTATGACGTCTAACTAACCACCCTAAACACGTGCCTAACTGCTTATAGAGACGCATTCTAGTGTACGTCTGACGTCTCAGTTACCAAACTAAATACATGATAGAGGGGTTTTAGTGTACGTATGGCGTCTAACTAACCACACTAAACATGTGACTAACTGCTGATAGAGACATTCTGGTGTACGGATGACGTCTAACTAACGAAACTAAACACGTGACTAACTGCTCATAGAGACACATTCTAGTGTACGTATGACGTCTAATAAACCATGCTAACACGTGACTAACTGCATTTAGACACATTCTAATGTACGTATGACACACGTGACTGACTGCTTATAGAGATATTCTAGTGTACGTATGACGTCTAACTAACCACACTAAACACGTGCCTAACTGCTTATAGAGACGCATTCTAGTGTACGTCTGACGTCTCAGTTACCAAACTAAATACATGATAGAGGTGTATTAGCGTACGTATGGCGTCTAACTAACCACACTAAACATGTGACTAACTGCTGATAGAGACATTCTGGTGTACGTATGACGTCTAACTAACGAAAATAAACACGTGACTAAGTGCTCATAGAGACACATTCTAGTGTACGTATGACGTCTAATAAACCATGCTAACACGTGACTAACTGCATTTAGACACATTCTAATGTACGTATGACACACGTGACTGACTGCTTATAGAGATATTCTAGTGTACGTATGACGTCTAACTAACCACACTAAACACGTGCCTAACTGCTTATAGAGACACATTCTAGTGTACGTCTGACGTCTCAGTTACCAAACTAAATACATGATAGAGGTGTTTTAGTGTACGTATGGCGTCTAACTAACCACACTAAACATGTGACTAACTGCTGATAGAGACATTCTGGTGTACGGATGACGTCTAACTAACGAAACTAAACACGTGACTAACTGCTCATAGAGACACATTCTAGTGTACGTATGAAGT